TAGACTGACCGGTACATAGCGGTTTGCAATAGAACTTCGTACGGAGGCCATTGCTCTATCTAATCTGTGTCAGCGGCTTGCTGAGATTGTTTCTAACAGCCGCCTAGCATTTGTAGGCGGAAACAGTACTTTTAACGAGATACTGTACTACCTAAGGGCATCTCCTCGGAGGATACTGACTGATGAACTGGCGTCGCGACAACGGACCTACACAAGTTTCTAGAAATTACCCCAAAGATGGACAAATGGCCTACGTGTTACCATTTGCGACGAAGATATTCTGAGAACTGGACCATACATTGCGATTTCCGCTGGTTTGGTGACACTGAAATAACTTTTTAGACTTCTAACGAGGATTCTAAACACTTTCCCCAAACACTGGCCAATTAATTACTACTTACAGCAAATAACTTAGGATAGTGTGCATTATATTTGATCCGACACAACTTAAATCTACCCACCGGTGTGGTCTCCAGACTTTATGCATAAGCTGAGTGGTTGAGAATGTTTCAAAACTAATCAAAGGTGCATGTTCTTCCCATTCGTAATTCATGTTTATGGTGAAAGTTGAACAGTATCCGAGTGCTTTCGCAGTTTACAGGCATTGTCAGGGAAAGGTTAAACGCAACTCTAGCAAGCAGTAAAAAAATTCTGACACAAAAAATAAAGATGATAGTGGTTTTTTATAGTTTGAAGGGTTCAGGAGAAAGAAAACTGCTGCCTCTGAAATTACGACAGTCAATAAAGGGAGGGAAGGCACTTCATCAGACATTACCATTCGCGATTTCTTTTCATGAACATAGGACTGGACTAAACGGAAGCACTGAAGAACAACTGTCGCTGTTGGCGAAATAAATTGCCCTTGGTGAGACCGGCCGTGGAGATCAGAGACCACGAACGCCATCGTTACGGCACACAAGATTGATGGATTCAGCACCCAAAATTTGCGGGTTTTTCTGGATGGAAAAAGCAAATGATAGTTTTCTTAAGGAGGGGATATTTTTGCGAGTTTTCACATTCCCAGGTAATTTATTCCCAATGGCAATTGCATATATAGCAAAAAGAAATATTGTACGTTTTGTCAA